AAGTCGTCATGCGCCCGCCACCCCAACACCAAATCTTTTTCAGAGTCTGCTTCCCACAATAGAGTCCTGTGGGGCCTACATCTTTGTTCCCACACCCATACATTTGCATTTAGCCATATTAAAAGGTATATTGTTTGCCTGCAGCCAGTCTACCAGCGATCCTGATTGCTCTGAATCAGTGACCCGTCCTCTTCATTCTTTGCCACTCCCAATTTTTGTCATCTGCAAACATTATCAGTGATGATTTTGTTTTCTTCCAGGTCATTGATAAAAATGTTAAATAGCATAAGGCAGAGAATCGATCCTTGCGGGACCCCAGTGGAAACACACCTGTTCGATGACAATACCCCATTTACAATTACGTTTTGAGACCTATCAGTTAGCCAGTTTTTAATCCATTTAATGTGTGCCATGACAATTTTATATTCTAGTTTTTTTAATCAAAATGTCATGCGGTACTAAGTCAAACGCCTTACAGAAGTCTAAGTATAGTAGTCAACAGAGACGTTAAAGTCGTTGGAAGCTGTGGTGCCTGGCACTTCTCATTCTTTGGCCCAATGACCAAGTTAAAAATGTAAGTAGAGGCTTTGGGGACCAGCTAATAGACATGATGGTTGTTTGCTATCATGCCTCAATACAGTGTTGGTAATTCTCACACAGGGGAAATAAATATCCTGCTTCATCCTCTCCAATGAATAGTCAATCTCTAATGCTAATTTTGTATGGTTATAGAAATTCTAGTAACAAAGCTGTAGCGGGTAGATGCTATTGGAGCTATGCGAACTCTGGGCCAGATCTTCAGCTGCTGTCATTTAGACCAGCTGAGGATCTAGCCCAGTGGGTCTCAAACTTTTGTCTTGGTGACCCCTTTCACACAGCAAGCCTTTTCATGCAGCCCCCTCCCCCTATAAATTAAAAACACTTTTAAAAATATTTAACACTATTATAAATGCTGGAGATGAAGTGGGATTCGGGGTGGACCCCCCACGCAATAACCTTACGACCCTCTGAGGGGTCACGACCCCCTAGTTTGAGAACCCCTGATCTAGCCCATAGTATTTGTTCCTGCCAGCCATGTTCTTTGACTGAACACAGTGTTCACGGATAGTAGGTTAGCAGCTTTACACCAGTGATGAAGAGGAAGAGAGAGGAGGGACAAAGGGGACGTAATGGAGGGAAGGACTTTCTCTCTGCTCTGGGGGTTTGGTAGCTTAAAGCTAAAATAGTGCCGATCCAAAGCAGAAATCTTAAACCAAAAGGCCAGATCCTCCGCTGGTTAAAAACCAGCACTGAAGTCAGTGGAACCATGTTTATTTCACACCAGCCCTAGAACACTGGGACTAAAACAAACTCCATTATGTTTTACGTTAGCCTAAAACTAAGGCCCAAATTGTGCGAAACTCTCCTCTACTGCCATGGTGGTTTTGCTCCGATAAAGGCCTCAGGTTTTTGCCCTGAGTTTGGTGTCTTTTGTATTTATTTTTCATATCCTGTTAGAATGTTACTTCTCCTTTACCCTGCACTTCTCTTTAATCCTCATTCCCGTTTTCTCCTGCTTCTGCCACTGCTCAGCAACATTCCCCAGTTTTGAAGCTAAGAAAGCACCAAAGTTTATTTCCTATTATGCAGATGCTAAAAAAGCGACTGCGTTCCTTTATTCCTTCTGAACAAGTTATCAAGAAAAACTGGGCAGTGGTGCCGAACCCCTTTGAGATCTTGTCCGAGGGCATAGTTTATGCAATCAGAATCCCTAACACCTCATTTAAACCATCAGTCCCCAGCTTTGTAGCTGCAGCAGAATCAATATGCCATTAGCGGCTGTAGTGTCTCTGTGGAGTTTTATTCAAGAAGTGGTGCAGGGTTTTATCTTGTAAACATATTGGTGGGAGTGTGAGCACCACCTCCCTCTGCTGGATGGAATCAGACCTGCTTCCATTTGAATGGTCTTGCCTCCTAATGGTTTACAAAGAGGCTATACGTAGCTTTATGCAGATCTTCAGTACTATAACATTCCAGTAAACCTGGACTGAGTTTCAGGCACACATAGTCACTCCCCATTGCTGCCAGGAAAGGAGCTATGGTTTCAACTCAATACTGCATGTGCTGGCTTAGTTTCACCTTGAGTTCTGGGGTTTGTTGATCCACCGGGTCAAAAGAAATTAGAGGGCATGCGAACTACAAGGCACAAACAAAGCTTTG